AACTACAAAGCTATAAATAACAAAAAATAGAACAACTTTTAGACTATAATTACTTTTAGTTTTAACTACTAAATAGATATTATTATGAATATAAATATTTTTGTAAATAAACTCTAGTATATTCTACAAACAACTATACTTATAGTAGCTAATAAGAATATTTTATATTTACACAAAACTAACAAAACATATATATAATATGTTCTTACTAGCTATAATTAACCTATATTAGACTTTAAATAATATTAATAATATAATTTAAATACTATGTACATTTACAGAAATATTAAATAAACCTAATTCTAAAACTACTACAAATAATTTCAATCTAAAAATTAATTAAATCAATAGTAGTACTAAACTAAATATCTTTAATATTCCTCTACTCTAACTACTAACTTCTAAATTTATTTATATAGTATATTTAAGAAAAACTATTGCAAATTAATATACTTAATATACAATACTAAAAACAATATTATATAAAATAAATATATTCAATAATATATATTTTTTTTTTATACTTAAGCGATCTTGCCCATCATTTTATTAAGAATAAGCTAACTTAAGCTACAAGTAAACTGCTATGCTATTTACAGCAAACTACTTTCTTAAAACTAATTTGGACTCACTCAGTTGCTTTTCAGCACCTAAGTGCGATTTGTTATAGCAACTATTTTTCTTGTAAGAGTTTAAATTTGTATATACAAATTTCTAGCTCTTAGTCAACAAGAGGCTACTACCAGCCTATATCAAAATCACCTAATTTGTTTTAAACCTTAACTATTCTTCCTTACTACCTGACCTTATCTATCTATCAATATTGTTAAAAGCTACTTTTTGAATTCTTGTTTCTTTCTTCTTTTTTGATTCCTTTGTTTCATTTATAGAAATATATTCTCTTTGTTTACTTTTCCTTTTCTTCTTGTCTTTTTCCTTTTTTTCTCTTTAGTTGTGATGTTATACTCTTTTTCCTATTCAACCATTATTTCATACCTGAATTTCCATAATCATTCATAGAAACAAGACCAGAATTGTTCGATAAAACTTATTAGTACCCTGTTTGCCTTGCTTTTAAACTGTGCTATCTTGCAAATATCTGCGTGTTGCTTCTTATTTGTGAGGCTTCTGAGGTGCATCTTTCTTATATGCATCTTCTCTTCTGGGTCTTTGCTAAAGAGTGCCTTTCTCAATATGTCATCTTCAAGTGATAGATCCAACTTTGTTAACACTTCAAGACTTATTAGATATAGAGTTTCCTCTTCTAGGTTCCTTCATAATTTTTGGTAGATTTTGCATTCTGCTAGGTAATACAAGGTTTTATCTTTTCTTAGGCAGGCTATGTATTTTCTGCTCTTGTATAGTTTGGGGTTTTACAAAAAGCAGATATCTTTTGTCAGTAGAATATCATTAATATATTTTATGCAAAACATGAGGTCTCTACTTTTTTTTAGACTAATACACTTTTTTCCTTGTCACTTCTTTAGTGCTTCTCAAGTGTTTTTCCAAATTAGCTCTTTGCTGAAGTTATCTCCTTGATTCAGGGCTATTATATCTGCTGCTTTGCTTAGTTCAGCCTATTCTGTTTCATATGTTATCACAGTTGTTATGTTTATGAATATCCTAAATAAGCAGTCTATTATTTAGTCTTTCTACTTTGGTATAGCTCGCATATTACCTAGAGTTGTTTCTGGTACTTTGTGTATATTAGTTCTTTTGGTATCTTCCTTAGCTAAGTAATCTGCTTGCTCATTCTATTTGTCACCACTATGACCTTTAACTTTGTGTAATGACAATTTTAGACTTTTTGCTATACAGCAGTCTTTTATCTGTCTCAGCAAACTTCTGTTTTTCATTTTAAACCAACTTCTTAACTTGTTTTCATCTATACACTTTTTAATGACTTCTATTGCTGCTTTGCTATCAGTGAATATATATATTTGAGCTCCACATAGTGCTGTTAGCAAAGCTACTCATATAGCTCCTAATTCTACACGAGTTGATGAAGTCCAGTTTTCTATATTACAATTAAAACTAATACTACTATCTATTCTCTCTCTGTTTTTGACTAACCAACTAGCTCCTATTCTATCTGATTCTCTCTCTCTGCTACTTCTTGCTAATGCACCATCTATGTAATATCTAATTAGCTCCTCCTCTTTTAGCTTTTCATATACATCTACTAGCTCTCTTTTGATCCTTTTGTTCTCTACTACTCTTTGTATGATTGCACTTTTAAGACTATTTGCTGTGATTTTTACTGATACCTCTTAGTCTGTCTTATGATTTGTGAAAGGTTTCTTATCCTCGACAAGTGCTGATAGTGGTGCTCTCAATATTACTTCTTTTCCATTAGTTTTCTTTACCTTGACTACCTGATATCCTTCATTATATCTAATACTAACTAGGTACTCATTACTACTAGTGCTTCCTAAGTTGCAATGACTACACTTGTCAAATAAATGGTCTTCTATTAGTTGGCTTAATTGTTTCTAGTATTTGACTATTACAAGCTTCTTTGTTTTCTTTGCTATTTTTCCTATATGGAACTCTTCTTTTCTTTTAAAAAGCACTTATTCTCTTTTCTGTCTATCTTTAGAAATGACTTGTGATTGAATTTTTATCGCTTCTCTGTTAGGACCCTTTACTTTGTAAATATCTTGCACTTCTCTAGAGCTGTTTTCTTTCAGCACCCTTTCTTCAAATTTTTTAAACTAGCTTAGAGTACAGCCCCTTGTTTTTTCACCTCTTATATACTTTAGTTGATCCTAGGTTAGCAGGTGACTTTCTGTACTATTTATGAGCTGTTCTAATATGAAGAGGTTCATTTTATCTGAGTTTAAAAAGATGCAGAGCTCTTTTGTGTCTAGTAAGCTTAATATTTCTATTCTTTTAATGTTGAGAGCATCAGAGTCTTCTAAGATCTCATTGATTTTTATGCTTAGTTTAGCTACTTCGTGTAATACTTTTACAACCAGGTTATTTGCAAGGACTGGCTTATCAAACTTACAATCTTTGCTCAAAGAGCTGCATAAATATTTGCCTCATAATTGTCCTTTTTTAACTCTTAGTCTTGTTGTTACTCCTAGAAGACCTTGCTAGTTGAGACATAGAGTGAGCTCTGTAAAGTAATATATAAGCTAGTTTTGCCAGATTAATCTTATGCTTAAGAAACCTATGTAGCTGCAAATTGAGTTTGCTGTTAACTTAGCTAGCTCAAGTTTGTTTTTGATTAAAGTTCAAATTAGTTTTTGTAAATTTTCGCATTTTGATTTGTTTATGAATGTTGTTTGTAGTCTGTATTCTATGCTAGGTCATAAGACACTATTGTTTAAGTATATGAGCTGGCTTGCTGATACTTTTTTTTATCTTATGGCTTTGCACATTCTGCTCACTTCGTTTCTTATGATATTTAGGCTATAATGTTGTTTTTCTTTTCCTGAGATCTATACTTCTAAGTGCCTTACTATATCTTTATCTTTTTTTGCAAGTACTTAGTCCTGGTGCTTTCCTACTTTAATCACTAGTATCTCTTTTTCTTTCTCTTTTCTCTTGGCATTCACAACTATTAACTCTGACTTTTTACTATTTATTTCAATATCGTTTATCTTATAAAACTCGTTTGAGATATTTACTATTTTTTGTAGCTCATCTTTAGATCTTGCTATTCAAGTTGTATTGTCTGCATAAGCAAGCACAGCTTGTTGATATGCTAGTCTTTTGATTTTGTTGTGAGCTATGTCTGTTGGCTAATTTGTTGTCATTTAATATTCTATATCTTTTGTACTGTTTACTGTACAAAGAAGTGGGTTATAAAAGATACGCCAGACTAAAGATGAGATTACTTCTCCTTAGTTGAGTTCGTCTTCAGCTTCAAATTCATTTGTTAGCTCAAAGCTTGTAATTACCTTAATTCTTCTTTTCTTATACAAGCTTAATATGAAATTAATCATGTTTTTTGAAAGCTTAATTCTTTTTAGATCTTTCTCTAGTATTTCTAAGCCTACAGAGTCAAATGCTTTTTGCATGTCTTAGAATAAAATCTATAGCTCATTGTTTTTTTGTCTTGCATCCTCGAGCAGATTGTTCATTATATGAATTGGGCTCATTGTGCTGTTGCCTGAGAGCTTAGCATAATTGGAACATTCCAAGACATTAAAATCTACTAGAGTTTTATCTAGTCTGTGTGTTAGAACTTTTACTACTGTTTTGCAGAAAGTTTCAATTAACACAATTGGATGAGTATTAGACAAGTTATAATTCTAGTTCTCTCCTTTAGGAATTAGGTAGAGTTGGCTGAGCTTCTATTTATATGGGATTTCTTCTTCTCTAATGCATATGTTAGCAAGGTGTCTGAATATTTTTTGTGCTATTGTACTTGCTTTTTTTATCAATAGATAGCTTATACCAGATGGACCTGGCACAGACTTAAACTTTGTCTTTTTAAGTACTTTTAACTATTTTTCTTCAGAGATTTCATCTTCTAAGCTATCGTATATTTTGCTGTCTACCTTTTCCAGTGGATTATATACTTTTTTCCATCTGATTAGCATATCTGAGGCACAGGTATTTCTTTTGTGAAATTGCTTTTTGAAATAATTTTTCACTTCTTCTAGTACTTCTTCTTTCTGGTTTACTAGTACTATTTCTGAGTTGTCTTCTTTGATGATTCTGTCTATAACTACTCATTTAGAAGATCTTTCAAGTAGGCTACTTATCATATGTTTGAGTTCTCCTTGTATTGCTTCACAGTGCTGTTCAACTGCCATATTAATTTTTTCAAGATCTTCTTTCTTTCTTGCTTGCTGAGCCTTTAGATTTATAATCTTCTACCACACTTTTAGATCTTCATGTCTTTTTTTGGTCCACATAGTTTCTGAGAGCTCCTCTATTTCTGTTTTGTATATACTATTTATTCTTGCTATTTTTGCATTCATTGAGTACTTGTCTGTACTGTCGATATGCTGACCTATTTTTGAAGAGTATTGTTGACATATGCTTTAAATTATCTTTAGGTCTTTCTTAATATTTCTGCTTTTTTTCTTTTTTTCAGGAGCAGGTTTTCTAGCATGGTGGACAACCTTTGTTACACAAGCCTTCTGGATCTGAAAATCATGACTCAGATCTAACTCAGAGCCAAACTGACCAATAAGAATGCAACAATTTTATAATTAGTAAGTTACATTTCTTTATTATATACAGTATTATTAATTTTCGCTTTCAATTTCTTATATTTTCTTATTGCAGTATTATTAATTCTTCACTTCCAACTTCTTATATTTTCCCTCTAATATAGTAATAACTACAGCTGTGACTATGTTATATATAGTCACTGTCAATATAATGCCAATCTCAATTCAGTTACTAATCAAATAGACAATCCACCAAAGCTTTACTTTTACTAACAGATAAGTTACTAGTTTCTTTTTACTATACGTAGACATTTCATAATTGCTTAATTCTAATTTATATTTATATATTTAAGTGTACAGTACAAATCTAAGTATATAGATTAACTTAAAATGCTACAAAAACTATATATATATTAGTATTTGATGAATTAGGTTCTGGAAAATGGCAACTGATCAAACATCTAAAACTTGGTGTCAAACAGAAAATAATTCGAGGATCAACTAAGAACTACAGAATATAAAGAGGTGTGGTGTTGTACTTAAAGTTTATAATTCAAACGTAAATATACAAGAATTTGTCTAAGAATTAAAGAATTACTGTGAAATTAGCTATGAGAATCCTTCGTTCTTGAATTGTTATAAAGTATCAAGAAATAATTATAGTGATTATATTATTGTTATAGAAATTGCACTGAGTAGTTTATTATGACAATATAATCAAATGGATTTCTTTTAATAATTATAGTTTTCAAAAGAAGGGTGATAAGTTTTTAGCAAGGTAGTTAAATAGTATTCGAATTAGCATATATGAGATGTAAGAATATATATGTTCATACACACTATGTAGAGATTACTTATCGAAGAGATTTGTGAACAGTTGATTAAAAATTTTTTTTAATATGTAATATTTATGTAATTTAGATTAGGATTACATCAATTTGTCATTATATATTACTTTATTATTATTTATTCACAAAAAATTAATTGCGTACAAAATTGTATCATAATAAAATATTTTTTTAAATAAATTTTTTTTTTATTAAATAACATTTACTGTAATTAAATTAAATATATTAAAATAAAAATATTAAATAATTATAACATTAGCGTTCAAAAATTTTTCAAGGGCTATAGAATAAGCTTGCTCTGCCTTCGGTAATGCTTGCTTATCTTTTCAAAATACTTCTAATATATCATCTTTATTTTCTATTCTTTAATTTTGTGGACTATCTTCATCAGCTTCAATTATTTCTTGAAGATTTGACTTCAATTTCTTTTTATCTAATTTGCTTAATCATGAAAGTAGAGAAGAGACATTATTATTTATATCCAATTTGAGAAAATTTTTACAATGATAACATTTTTCATTCAATAAAATGAAACAGCTCTCATAGTATCCATAACTGCATGCAATAACCATGGAGCTTTTACCTGTCTCATCATATAATAATCTATAACAATGATTACATTTGTCAGATGATAGCAAATGCTCGCTACTGAACCCTAATGGCATTTGTTTTTTATCTACAATAATATCCAGCGATACTAGTTTGTAGATAATTTTCTTTCCCGAGCCTTTAACAATAGAACTTTGGCCTAATCTTTGGTAAATTTTACCAAAAGTTTCAAAAAAAATACTTGCACTTTCTTTGTTAATAAATTCATATTATCTTTATCTATATATGTAGACTTCTTCTGACAACGAATATGTCTTCAAATATGTTAATAGCTCTTCTGGTATTAACGATCTTGGCAATCTTAGAAAGTTGTTGCAATGTATTAGTGGAGGAGCTTTGCTGTCATATTATGCTATGCATATTCTCAACAGGATAGTCTGTTAATTTAACTAAATGATCTTTTAGTACATTTAATATTAGATGATTGTTTTGACTCTAATAAAATATATTCGAAAGAAATACTAAGGGTGCTTTATTATAATTACGCCTTTCAAACTGCAAAAAAATATACTATGCCAGAAATATATCTTTGATATATGATTCCCAATCTCCAGATCAAAATAAAGTTGAATATATGTCTAATCCAACTAGTACCGTATTGTCTAATAATTCAAATAGAAACAAGAATTCAATATTTTTACAATATTTACCAAATTTAACTATTACTATTGGCTTTATTTCTTTCCAAGCACTTCTTACTAGTTCCAAAAGCACAAATATTTGATACGAGCTTAGTGTTTTGCTTAGTGCTTTACTCATACTAAACACATATTAGTACTCCATATTGAAGAAATCCTAATAGATCTTTAATATAGATTCGAGTAAATTAAGCTGAATATGAAGAACTTCAATAATCAGAATGAAAGATAATATATTGTCTGGTATATTATCTACATGGTTTAATAGACGAAGAGTAATAGCTTGTCATGTAAAAACCTGCTCAGGCCAATTAGCTACAATTGGAATAACATTTTTAGTTAAATAATTAGTTAATAAAGAAGTTTCATGAACTTTTTGCAAAGCAAAAATATATGAATTAATTTCTTTAAGGCTTAATTCAAAAAAATCCAAAAGTATTGTATCCTTCATTTTATGCTCTTCCAGATGTTCTTGTATACGAAAATCATATTTGTGAAGAGTCATATTTTCAAGCTTCTTATTCAAAGGTACCTCATAATAAAACTGGTCATTAAACGTTTTGGCTATACGTTTTATATAAACGCTATCTAAAAAATTACAAATAAGGTTAGAATCAACTAAATTTGGATTGTGAATTGATATACTGCCTGTAGTGACTTGAGGGATAGCTATTGAATCAACACCATTTAGCAACAAGGTAGTTATATGCACTACACTTGATGTCGAACATGTGTTTGGTATTTACTTGGTGTGAATATTATAATAATTATCAATGTTAAGAACCAACATATTATTCTTTTTAGCTTCTAGATATGAAGCAACTCTATACAGATGATTATTAGCAATAGCTATCTTTTCCCTATTCAGATGCCTTTGTGAAATCGTTAAACCAGCATATGATAAAGCATCTATAGCTTCTGCGGAAACTCCCATTAAATCTACAAAAAGAGAAATATCTTTTTTAAAAGCTGTTAAATTAGAATTCTAATTTCCACAAATAATATAACATTCTACAGCTAATTTTTTGTCTAATTTAATTAAATACTTATCACTTCTATTTTCAGGAAGTGATGCATTATAAATTAAATCAAAGAAACTACTTAGCCTGAAATCCTTAGCTATCATCTCTCTTCACAGCTGTTTAAAGCTATAAATAATTGGTTTCTCCTCATTCTTCTCTCGATCGTATAAAAGCTTCGTCAAGATATTAATACTATTAACCATGAAAGATTATCATCACTTGCTGCTAATTCATCCTTCAAATTCCAAAGTGATATAGACATGCACTGATTCTAGCATATTAAATAACACTGGTATGCCAAAGACTGTTTAAGAGCCCTTCATTCAAACTCTTTTTTTTTTCTAGACAAGCCATTTCTTCAATTTCATTAAAGAAGAAATCTAATTGATCGTTCTTGTCTATAGCCGAAACTTTAAGCTGAGAGAATGTAACAATAGGCAGATTGTTGCCTATATTTTCTTTCTCAAAAATAAAATTGGTTAGTAATAAAATAGACTCAGACATAGAAAGATTATCATTACGATGCCTTTTTAAACCTCTTGCCCATTTAGCTGCATGTTCTACATAAGTGCTTGCTCTATTTACAATGATCGCATTGTAAAAGTTTAAATACATATACTCATCCTTATGATCTTTGTAATATGAAGCCAAGGTTCCATTAGATTCTGCCTTATTTAACACATTGTCAGTTATTTTTTTCTACTTTAAGGCCAGAACTTGCTTGCAGATTTTCATAACGTACTCCTTAGCTGAATCTTGAGTTAAATTGCTATCCATTTCCTATAAAACTTGCTACTAGTAAAACTTTTTAATTTTTGAGATTATTTGGGATTAATTTTAATAGTATTTAGATTATTCAAAGACTTTTTACTCTTTTTTTTTTTAGAGTAGGTTTATTTGGTAGGTTTCGAGAAACTACAAGAATAAAAAGTACTTTAACCCTATAAAAAATCAAAAAATTTTTTTTATTAAATTGGCTAAGCCACAATGTCGATTACCCAAATTCAAACTTGTTCACCATACTAGGTTTTCCTACTATAGACTTCTTTTCTAAGAGAGTTAATCTTGCATACTTGTTTATGCTTGTTGTGATTATGTCCTACAAGTCATCTTTGTTTAATATTTCTAGGTAAGCTAGGTCATATTCATCTTTTATAATGTTCAGCTTCTTCTTGAGTAAACTGTCTAGTTTTGTTTTATACTCTTTCCAGTTTTTTTCTATTGCCGTGTTGAAAAGGAATGACCATCTTTTCCCTTTTAGTCTTTTTTCACAAGCTAAAGATCTAGTTTTCTTCTTTATACCTGTTAGCATTTTTGCAACTACAATAGCATAGTCACTGTTTATGACTATATCTGCTTCTAGTATATTACAATAGGTGAGGCTTTGGTCTAGATCTTTAGATAATCAGATATAGTCAATTCTAGACTTTACTTAATCATTTTGTCTTGTGAATTTTCTTTCATGAGGGTGTAATTTTCTGAATATATCAATCATATTAGAGTTTTTAAGCCAGTTCAAGAGTGGGAGTTTCTGAGCTTGCTTCGAGTTTTCTCTGTTCTGATCTAGCTCTCTGCAATGAATATCATTAAAGTCTCCTAGTATCATAACTTTCGTAACTTTTTCTTTACTTTGATATTTATATGTTCTTTTGATGACCTGTTGCTGAATATCTTTTCTGATCTTAGAGTCATTATGTGGTATGTATATTACTAAGACTAGCACTTTATGCCTTTTAAATACGAAAAGTGCTTCTAGGTAATATGTATTTCTTCTTTTTACTTGGCTTAAATGTCTTTCCTATTTCTTGTAGATTATTAGACTGATGCCAGAACCTTTCTTCTTGTTTTCTTCTGCATCAGATCATATATCTATATAATTATCTTGATTTCTTAAGTTGAAGTTGTTTTGTCTACCTGTTGTATTTGTTTTATTGATTCCAATTATGTCAACATTTTCTTTGCTTGCCCATTCTAATAATAATTCCAATTTTGTAAAGTTTTCTTTTATCCTGTTAATATTATGTGATGCTACTTTTAATGTTTAAAAGTTCTCTACTACAACCCCTTTTTTCTTTCTTTTAGAGAATTTCTATGTGCTGAGATAGTCAGCTTCACTGTCTATTTCTATTGATTTAACTAGTATGCCTGTTAGAAGCGATTTGAGGCCTCCTACTCTATATATTGAATTTTTTCTTTAAGACTTCTTATGAGTTGTAGCATATAATTATAAGAATTTTCTGGGCCTAAGATCAGTTTTTGGGTTGCAAGTATACTGCTAGATACTTCATGATTGACTTCTTTCTTTTTGCCTTTTTGTATTTCTCTTCTTTTTTTCTCAGAGTAAGCACTTGTCTGTTTAGTTTTTTCTGTTCGCTTCATGCTACTTGTTATTTCTTCCTCACTTAGAAATGGTCTTCTAAAAACTTCTTGATCCTGTTCTGTATTTCTTTTTGTTCTGAGGCTTCTTGTATTACTTCTTCTATAAGCTTCTAGCTCTACACTATCTGTAGCTTTTCTATTTTTTAGATCTGTTTCGTGTCTTGTTAAGTTTGCTTATCTTAGCTTGTTATCATAATAGGATACTGAAAATTTGAAACAGTTTAACATATCTTCTTCCTTTTTAAAGTAAACTGTTGCATTTCTCATATTGTTGTTGTTGGAGTTCTTGAAGATATGTAGTGCTTTAGCTCCTGATCTTTTGATTTGTTTCTACAAAAGTACCTTGTTTGTGTTTTCTGGCAGGTCTAGTAACCTTTTGCTAAATCTATTTCTTGTGCGAAGCAAAGAGAGATTGTTAGTATCTGTTGAGATTCTTATCAGTATTTTATTTGCGAATAGCAAGTATCAAATCTCATTTATTTTTTTTTTGTCAAAAATACCTGTTTTAAACTCTACTTCTGCTCTTGTTTTGTCTGAGACACTTTTAATTATTTCGATATACTCTACTCTTCCTAGAAAGCAGACTATTTCGAATACCTGTATTCTTCTGGCCCAAGTTGGCAGGTTCCAAACTATAATTTTGTTATCATCCTCTATTAAGTTTAAATTTTTGTTAACTTGATATGTTGTAGTTACTTTCTTCTCAGGTAAATCTTGTTCGTGTATACTAGTTTCTACTTTTTCTCCTTTTCTTATGAAGACTTCTTTGAGTTCTTTTTCTGCTTGCTTTACTCTCTTTCTTTTTGTTTCTTGGCTCTCTTGAGTTGAGTTCCTTATGTCTTGATTTCCTGCTATTTTATTTAGTTCTTTTTGTTCTTTGTTTTCTTCTAATAAAAGATTGGCTTGTTCATATTCTTCTTTCTTGTTTTCTAATTTTTCTTTTGCCTCTTTATAGCCTCTAAGACAGTCAAAAGTCACTATACACCAGAGATTGCCATGTTCAAACTTTTCTGAAATTTCCTTTAGGTGAATATTTCTTTCAATCA